CTTTAGGAGTCTATTAAACTGTTTATGAGTCCACTTGCCTCTGATCTTGTTCCATTTGGATTTTGATAAGCTTTTTAAATTCATCTGTGGTATTTCTGTTTCTTTAGTATAATCCCTGGACTAAAGTCTACTTTCCTGTACACGTCCTGTACATCCTTACCAGTTCCATTGTAAAAAATGAGGGCAGAACTGAGTAATATATCATACAAAACCAAATGGCCTGATGAACTGCTGTCTGTGTAGAGATTCTTTCTCTAACACAGGGTTTTATAAACATAGTGTGTTTATAGAAAACAGAATTAAAACTTACGTGATTTCCAAATCAACAGCATCAGATACAAGACGGTTACAATCAGAGCCTTATTTATTCTTCACGTTTCTTCATTTCTAAAATTCTTAGTAGTATTTTTTGTTAAACTTGCTTTTAGGGGTTTGGGGGAGTGTTCTATCCTCAGCCTTCTATGTTGCAGAATTCTGACCATGTTAACTGCTTCGTAGTGATTTTCTGTTTATACCTTTGTGGGAAAAGGAAGTAGAAAAAATTCCTTGTTGGCGACTTCCACTTTTTGTTGGTTTCATTAAATTCCTCACCTCTGCTTCCTGAGCCAGAAGAAATCTTTTTCTTAAATTTGAGCACTTGTGTAAATGCACTGACCAGCACAAAGTGAAAAATGCTAGAAAAACTCCTTTGAGACCAGGCGTGTACTGGCAGTGATGAAGGAGCATGATCAAAAAGAAGGGCCTTTGATCTCTAGATGAAGCGATTCAATGAAGTTTTTGATATGCCATTCTTAAATGTCACCATCTCAGTCCATCGTGAGTGGTGGAGTATAAAAAAGGATTAAAAGATGACAGTCCAGGAACACTTAGGAGTCTCTGTTGAGGATATAATCACCCACCTGCCCTGAGCAAGAGCAGACAATGGATAATCAGCAGGTGGGCACTCACGATGCATGAAAATATTGCAGCCCTTAATAGCCTTCTGTGTACAGGGTACAGCTACATTGATGCCTGCAGTGGGGGGTTTAAAGCCAAAACTTGGCTTTCATGGTAACCATTCAAATACAAAAGCGCTGAAAAAGACTCACAACTGAGAGTTAACACTGTACATGATTTAAGGGGAATTTGATACACCTAACTCCTTAGGTGTATCTAAGGATAGAGGAGGATAGTTGTCTTTTTCATACATCGTGTATCTTAGAGATGCCTCTTGTCGTTGTTGTTCTTGAAAGCCAAGCAAACAGGAGATTGATCTGCCTGCAGCCATAGGCAGTGACTGCTGGGGAGGAACTTCCAAGGCCTTTGGAGATGTTGGACCCGTGACGTCCAGGGGAACAAAGGGGCCTCGAGAAGAGCCTCTGTGAAGACAGATGGGATTTTTGCTCAGTCATCTGTACAGTCTCCCTCCTGATAGTGTAATTATTTTTTCAGGTCTGAAAATTTTGTCATAACTGCTCCGATATCAGGTGATTTTTGTACAGCTTTTATTTTAGGCATAGAGAAGAGCAAAGGGGTTTAGTTTACCTCCTCCACTGACCACATCCAAAGCGTTCCTGAGCTGCTTTAGTTCATACTGACAGGGGGAGAGGGGAGACTGTGATAAACGGTTCCACTCAATTGCCCACACATGGGTGTCTGCTGCAGTCTGAGATGCCTGCGTTTTCCAAAATATCCTCATGGGTTGACAGACATGACGCAGGGCCCATCCTTTTCTTGACTGGCTGCTGGAAGTCAAGTGTGGTATCCAATGGCCTCTCAAATAGCATTTGTCCCCCATGGATGAGTAACTGAATCGCGTGCATATTTTCTGAAGAGAGAGTTTTTGTGCGACTTAAAACACTGAGTCTCACAGTTAGAAAATATTAATCCTAATAGTAAATGAACCCATAATATACATTTTTTTTAAAAAATCATTCATGGCTTTTTTTTTTTGCTTTTTTTTTTAAACCGGTGCACTGAGTGTATAAGGAGTGCCTAATGATTTCTGAATGTATGTAATACTGAGCAAATCTGGGAGGTGGGAGAGACATGTAGGTTATTGAAGTATGGTGAAAATAAGCTGAAGGAAGCCTTGCTGGCAGAGGCAAGTTTTGATGAGATCACCTGTTCTGCATCTCATAACTAATGGAAAGACACAGCATTTCAGTTACCACTTTTTCCTTTAACACACTGGCTTCTAGCACAAGTAAACAGCACACAGTAAAAAGACATACATTTTATGTCTACCTAATAAATCTACAGGTAAAATGCTGGCAAAATAATTTACTGATGTGGTAAGAGCAAGCAAGAGATACTGTAAATGCAAAGTGAAATTCCATAAGCTAACATATACTGTGTTTATCTCTGAAAGAGATAAAATGTTTACTGATGGATAGTTTCACAGAGAGACTGAAGGTTAAAAAAAGAGGACTAGAAGATAACTGAGTGTTACAATTTCTGATTGACTGTATTGTGCTTTCGCAAAGAGGGAACTGTTAGATATGTAGTTTATCCTCAACTAGTTCATGGACAGCCTTGTTATTTTTAACTTATCCTCACTTTTTTTAATTTGTTTAGTAAAGACAGGGAGTTTAGACTTACCTAAAACATGCACAAATTACTTGCCCAAAGGATCTTTGTGCTCTAAGTAAATAAATAACTGAGAGTAATTTCTCACTAAGTAAAGTAAACTGGACAAAAAATACTAACTATAAAGAAACAGAAATGTATATGTATTTGTATTTAGAGACTTAATATATGAAAGTACTTTAATATGCAGCAATTAATAAAGTGAATCTTTAGAAAGCAGGCACAGGCGATAGACTAAGATGGAGTCGTATGGGGCTCATGAAATAGTACATTGATATGGGAATTATATCACAAATGAGAGATTTATATGAATTTGTAGATTTTAGATGTCGGCATACATTGGCAGGAATTTTTTGCAGTATAAACCAACAGTTTCCTCTTACTGCTTTCTCATGTACTTGGGTAACCTTTGGGCTATGGTAAACTTGTAATGTCACAAAGGAATTATTACAATCCAAATCATGAGTTTGACCAAACGGCATCATTCCACTCTCATGATGCAAAGTTAACGTGAATGTGTCTTAACAAATCACCTAATACATGTTTAAATCTGTCTTGAATGGCCAAAATGAAAGAATTGGAAAGTATGATTAAATAAGCAAAATAACTGCGAAGTATGATTGAATTAGGCCTCAAATTATTGCAGTCTGCTATTATATTGTATTGTATTGTACTGTATTATATCATACACAAATTTGGACTTATCCAGGTAGCTGCATGCTAGTGAGAATCATTCATAAATTATTATTGTTACATCAGTCTCTTGTTTATTTTCATCCTTGTCGAGCCCTTTACTAACTAGAGACACTGAGGATTAAAGATACAGGTATACTGAAGTTCCTAGGGATACCCATGTGCACCTAATGTAGCCCAGAGTCTAACTGCACAAAGTGAAAGCCTCAACTATTTAGCACACATACACTAGGTGCTTCAAAAATCCCAGCAGGCACTTGCCTGCATGTTTTTGGCACCTGAATTCCCACGGGCATATGACTCCTACTATTTTTACAAGTGGAAACTTGATCAGTTTGACCAAGTTAATGGCTGGTTCTTTAGATTTCTTTTCTGTAGTATCTCAGGTAATACCTGCTATTTTGAAAATTCATGGGCAATTAACTTCTTTATTGACCACCGTTATCTGTTCAGCCTAAACTTCTGCAGCACACACGGGCCCCATTTATGACTGATTTGAGGCATATCTTGCTTTCAACTTCTGTTTCACCTCTTTAAACCTGTCAGTATTATAACCTCTGTTATTTATATTCCTATATGCAGATTCTCATAGTAACATGGGAATCTCGTGAACAATTATTTCAGCAGTATCTGTTGCTTTAAAAAAAACTATTAATAGAAACACTTTTTCTTTGAAAATGTATGGTATCAGTGAAAGAGAAATAGCCTGATGTTTTTGGTTTGTTTGTTTTTAATTAAAAGAATGCCGTTTTAATGAAAGAAATAATCACAATGCACTGTTCTATTTTCAAAGCTGGGTCGTGGAAAAAAAGAATCAGAGCAGATACACTGTGGATCTTCTACATTATTTGTAGGATTAGTGAACCTTTCAGGTGCAGATTTCAAGTGTCATTAAACAACCCTACGTTACAGCATCATATGCCACGTGCCTCCATAAGCCATGGAATTTGTTCATGGACTTTTCATGCTCTTCGGGTGAAGCACTGAGAAGATTAGCGAAGCGTTACTTGCTCCAATATATTATCATTAAACTAGCACCTAAGGGAGAAGAAACACCAGCGGATGACGTAGACAACTATGAAATAAACAGTCTATACTCAGTGTATGCTATTTATTTACAGTGGTACATCGTGAAAATTGCATCTCTAGGGTGCACAGTAACAGAGGTATACACATCAACCCATGTTTCTCATCTACAATCTACAGCTGCAATATTTTAATTTCTTGTGTACTGTGCATGTTATTGTCAGCCTCTAGTGTAAACCATGCATATATATTCAGAGTGGTTACAGTGAAAAACAAGTGTTCTTAGTAGCTGTTCAGTGATACCATTTCTCAGTACTTAATAATCTCTCATTATCTGGGATATTTAAAATATCAGCTTGCTTATGTTAAAACATTTTTCATTAAATAGCCACATGAACAACAAGACTTCTAAAAGTTAAAAAGATGTCTTAAGTAAAATAAATAGGAAACTGAAAAAATGGCTTGTGTCCTCAAAAAGCTTTGCTTAGCCAGGTTTTGAATGTGATGCACTTTGAATGCAAACCTCTTTCCATCATTTACCTGTCTGATTTTCAGCTTATATATATTAATGGCAGCGCAGACTGGGACATTTCCCTAGTACTGTAAATCATCCTTTATAACAGTATCATGTTTTGTTAAAATCTTACTAATATTAGTCTTTGGTTACAGGCAGTTTGCACCGTGCATCCAGTGTTCCAGAGCGCGTCTATAACATGGGGATTACCGAAAATGATTTTGCACCAAGAACTCCCTATGGTTTCTCATATTATCAGTCAAACCAGGTGAGGAAAAGAAGACAACGAATAGAAATAAATACAATATCACATGCAGAGTTTATCCATTTTGTTTCCACAAATAATAGCATGTAAATGGTGTTTCAAGGTTTGCTTGCTCGCTTGTTTGCTTTTTAAAGCCTGATTTCTAGAAAAGGAGGTTTTTACAACTGAGATTTGTTAACATTTTCCCCCTTCTGGTGACTTCTGAGCCCAATGGCTAAATTCAGCTCAGTTGTACAGACGAGCTTTCTGCAATCCTGTTGGTTTTGTGAGGATTGGCATCAGGGTAGAAAATTAAAAACCGTATTAGCACTCCACTAAGGCAAAGGCTGTGACAAGTCAGATCTTTATCCATCCCACCAGGCGGCAGGTCAGCCAGCACATCGGTAGCTCAAAGCGGCCGGAGGCCGTGCTGCCACTCACCCAGCCGAAGAGTTGGAGGTTGCTAGAGGAAGTCCAGCGATCCCGCAGGGTAACGAATGACATAGGTAGGAGTGGTGAAAGAGGTTAGAGAATTAAGCATCCAAAACCCCAGGAAAACAGATTGCTTTAGTTTCATGATGGCAGGTAGAGTGATCTTTATCATTTAAAATAATCCTATTATAACCTGTTTTAGCATTACAAGAATTTCAGCAGTACAGTCCTTGGAATACAATGGTGTTTCTAAACTGTCTAATCATAAATTCACTTGTTATTTTGACCAGCTTTTCTTGGGTTCATGGCCTGAATGCTAAGATGAATAATCGGTTTTCTGCAGGGTTTGTGACACAGCTCATAACTGGTATGAACCTATTTGAGGGAGCAACCATATGACTGGGAAATCAACACATAGCTCAATAGCAACGCTGCTGCATGATCAACATTAGTAAACTGAAACAAATTCAGCTTGGGAACAGAAATATTTATTTAATAAATAGCTGTATACGTAGGGGCCAATCCTTTCTTAATTTTAGATTACTCAAGAACTGCTTATTCTCATTAAAGGAAATAGCCCAGCTTCTGGCCAGTTAATGAAGCAGGTCCAGCTCTGTATGCGTAGAGGTAGAACCATTTACTTAAATACATTTCCTTCTTTGTCCTCCTATCCTCTGTTCTCACCTATCATCCAGACCATAATATTTGATGTGAATCTCTGCTTACTAGAAGAGAGTGACAAGAGGAAAACTAGAGGTGACATAGGAACCACAGGAAAATACTACAGTTTTCCAGGCAAGGGGGGGGGAGAATTAAAAAAAAAAAAGAGAGAGACTATTTGTCCTGTGTGAAAGCCAGAAAAAGCCACAAGGTCTAGTATTTCAGAAAAGCATTCATTTCCTTATCCCCAAACAAAAGATAAAGATATCCTTGCATAGCTTGTGTAGAATAAACAGATATATGCAATGATCCTTGCCTCAGCCTTCTAGATTCAGCAACCTTTACTCCTTTTGTGAGTCGATTATCACCCTCAGTAACTCAACAGTGAAATTAAGGGATTTCAGTCGGGCCACTATCTGCTAAGTGCTGTCCCTTCAATTAATAACTTGTGTAAGCTTCTCAGTTTACCTTAAAAAATGTCTTTAATATTACAAAACTCTAATACAGCATGGAAATAGAATATATGGGGCTTTCATTTATGGCTGGATGACACTATGCTTACTGATTTTTAAAAAATTGGGTCATGACTCCTTTATTTCAATGCCAGATAGTCTTGGGTAGAGTATGATGTCCAATTTAGAGCATAAGAAAAAGGTAGAAAAATTGGAGAGGCCCCAAATGGTGCCTAAACAGTAAGAATCTTGAAGACACATCCTACAAAGAAAGGTTGCAGGGAGTGGGTTTGTTGAGTTTAGAAAAGAGAAACTTACAAAACAAGATGATGATCCATTACTGTCCATGCCCATTAGGGACAGGAAAAGAAAAATAATCTTAAATTGCAACTGTAGAATTAGGGAAACCATTGAGATGGTGAAATGGTCATTTTGGTTTCCTTGGAATGTTATGTAATCTCCTTCATTTTTAAGAGGTTAGGCAAACAGGGGAGGGACTATCTCTTTTTACTAAATCCTACCACAAAGTGAACAGGAGGGCTAAATAACCTTATATTAATAAGGTTTATAGCAATATGCAGGCACTTTAGTATAATATTTTGATATCTGACTGATTAATTTTCTTCTGTCTATTGGACAGCCTTGAATTTAATTTTAGTAGCAGATGTGGGTGTTAATCCCCAAGGATTTTCAAACTGAAACTAAAATCTCCATTAATAAGCAGACTGTTCGCTACCAGGCATAATTGACTTACGCACCTATTTTGAGTTAATGACAGAAGACTAGATGCTTAGACTTTGTCTCCTAATGTGTAGACCGTGCTTCTTCCTGCCTTTGTTAGGCAGATACAAAGAAGTGTTGCAGAATCCCATTTAATACACAATATTGGTGATGTTCACATTTTGTTTTCTGATTCTGATAGCAGACCTTAGAATTTTTATCTTTACTTTTTTGGTTTGGTTTCTTTGCTATTAATCCTAAATGCTGTGATCTTACTGTGACTCCTGTTCTTTTATGCACCCTTGAACAGGTGGCCTCACCATCCTCTTATACAAATGGCTGGGGGACAAGGATTACTTACAAGACAGTGGAAGAGAGAGCGCAAAGACAGCCTCTGAAGAGACTAGAGGTTTCACCCCAACGAGGTCCTGAAAGATTAGCCTATGTGTCCAGTGATTTTCACTATGACGGAGGGATTTCAACTGGATTCTCCATGAGGCATGGAGATAGCAGGAGATCCAGTGGGACTGTCCCACCAAGATATGCTCGGTCTGAAATTGTTGGTTACACTCTTCGTGATTCAGTGAACAGGGGACGCTCTTTTAAGAGACACTCCAACATGGGGGCTGTTAATGATGCCATCCTTGATGGTGTCTACCCCAGCCCCACTGTACCTCTGTACCATCAAGCAGGCAACAGTCACAGTATGACCAACCTTTTGGAGAAAGAGAACTACCTGACCTCAGGCAGTGCGATAGGACAAGCGAGATCACCAATTGCTTCCTGTTTGGGGTCTCAAAACAGGCAATCTTTAAGGTCCAGCTGGTACCAAACTACTTTCAAAAGCACACAGACCAGGAGGGAAGCTTCCCAGCCAACTTCAATAACCAGTGTCACTGCAGAAACAGATGGGAAGAGGATGCCATTGACAGCTGCTATGGCAGCAGCAGGGAGAAACGGTTTCCTGCAGAGCGAACAAGTCACCATCAATGGATCTCAGCTAGGGTAAGCACAATGCAGGACTTGCTTTGGTTCTGGGGTGTCAGAGCTGAAAGGAACCTGTTTGTTTAAAAAGGGAAAGTAAACTGGCAGCTTATGGTTCCGCAGCCAACACAGCATATGAAATGTCAGTGCAGAGGATGCAGAAAGTAGGTTTGCTTTTAAAAGTTCACTTCCAGTGCAACAGGAAAGGGAGAAAAAATGTATGGGTATGTACATACTGCAGGGTCCACACCTCCTGCTCAAGTTTGGGACCCCCCTTTTGCCAAGAGTTAAATCAATTTTATAAGGAGACATGAAGTAGTCACGGAGTAATTTACAACCTAAGTCACAATACACAGTAACGCATTGGCAAATTTTGTGCTCATAAGAGACCGGATGATTTCAGCGCTGGTTCTCACGAGAATAGGTCAGAAATCAACCAGTGAAGCAGCTTTTGGCAGACTGACAATTTCCAGTTAAAAATCCTTCATCGTTTCAAGGAAACTTTTTAGTTTTGGTAAACTTCAGTTAAAACACAGACAGAAATTTCTCTTAGCTCTGTCGCACCATCCATTCCTAGAACAAATATAAACTGCTCTGAATCTCAGGACCCCAGAGCTTCTCACTGCCATGAGATCCTACGTGCTCTGAGGATGCTATCTTATTATGAAGCCCTGTTAGCTCCATGGCAGAAATTCCCAAAGCTGCCCCCAGACTTCAGGAAAATCGTTTAAAATCTTAGAAGCATTCTTTTTCTTTTTTTTTCAGAATTACTTTTTTTCCCCCCCTGAAATTCCTTTCCAGAGAAGATATCAGAATGTCTAAAATTGGTTCCATTTTCAAAAGAGAAAATTTGTCAGTTCTGAAATTCCCCTCAGGAGTGAATATTTTTTTCATTTTAGAACAATTCTGCTTGCTTCCAGAGTTCTTAAGGTTCAATGGACAGAACAAACCACTTGGTAAACAGGAGATGGTTCCTTGCACTGTTTACTGTGGTTTCTGTTGTTGTTTCATAATCCAAATAGGATCCCAAGGTTTCTTATGTAAGTTAATCATGGTGTAATTTGTAACAGTGTTATTAAGAAATGTCTATTTTTCCATAACTGTGTAGCTGTTAAGTTCATTTTTCCGAAGGCTACCTTTCTTCTTTTTCTAAATTTGCTACTGTGTGAGATGAGGCATCATCTGATGTCACTGCTATGTACAGGTCAGGTATTTTCTGTCGTCAGCTACATGTTGTGTGTTATGACTAGATTTACAAAGATATATGTTTTGTGCCCACATCTGATCTGGATTGAAATTTTCACCTCTGGGTGATGCAGGAGTTAAGAGATCTGGTATTAATGATGTGACTCTTAAGTATTCAGTCTTTACAGCAAGTAAGTCCAGAAAAAACAGCTGAGAGCTCACAACAGCTAAGGAATTGGAAGTAGTGATGTTGAAAGTAGGTACCTGGGAGGACTTTGTTTACAAACAGGCATATATCCCATTGACTTAATCATTTACTTAACTTTAAGCACATTCTTGAGTGTGTTTCTGAGCCACAACCAGCAATTTTGATATTTAATTTTGTGTAGGAGCAATTTTGGTTCTTCTTTTGCAGGTGCAGACACTGGAGTCTGGTTGTCTGCCTGCATAAACATCAACCAAAGTGTTTTTCATACCTGCAGATGTAAACATCTGTCTTCAGTCATTGTGCAAGTGGCTTGCTTGAGACCATGCTGAACTCCAGGTGGAAGATTTGTGACCTAATGGAAATCTTTTTGACAGCTTAATTCCTTAAATGCCAGTTTTTAAGCTCAGCTTTTGCTGGAAATTACAGAGAACAATTGGAAGTGCTGTGAAAGCTTCTAAAGTTCCTTTTGCAGATGTTTACAGATTTCATTTATCTCAGTACTTCTGACTATTTAATTTACTTGTACATATCTTGTTTAGATTTTCAAATATCCTAGGTTCTATTTTAGTTTCATTGCTAGGTTTTTGGGGGAGTGAGGGGCTCTTTACTCTATCTAAAGTTTTAAAAAGTCTCTGTAAAATATATTAGTGAAGAGGATGGTGAAAGGCAGCATTTAAGATACAATTCCAGAAGAGATTTGCACCACTAGAGTCTTAAATGATGATGAAGAAACTATAGCCATTTTAGCTGACTGAAGTCAGTATTTGTTACATATGCTTATGTACTAACATGAGTATGATATCCACATACATTATTACTGTTTTCAGACATCTAAAATACAGATTTAATAACTCCCCTTGTAATTCTTGTCATTGGGAGGGCTTGACGCAGAAGTCCTATTTTGGTTGCATTACATTCTGGTTCATCCACATCTAGCTACTGCACAGTTTAAAGTAGAATAAAGTATTTAAAACATAATAGATGACATTTTGCTTTGGGGTATACACTGCTGTCAAATCAGAGATATTTCACTTAAGTCCCTCATTCCGCCAGTAGTACAGTAATTTCTTCTGACAAGACTTCTCAGTTTAAGAAGTTAGTAGAGACTTTCACATTTCTTGTCATTTCCCATTCTCTTTGATTTTAAGGTTGCATTATCTGATGTATTGCTCCCTTACCTGTTGCTCCCTTAATAATGGAAGGGGGGGAAAAAAAGATAAGCCTATTTTCTGAGTAATTTGATTTTTCCAGAAATTTGTACTTTTTTATGTGAATCACACTGTAAGTCTTTCCAAAGTTAATTAAGAGGATGTAAAATAGTTGTGTGAGGTAAAAGAGAAGTAGTGATCTAACTGTGTATAGTATTTGAAATGTATATAAAAGAATTTTCAAACTTTCTGTAGAAAAATTTGCTCATGCTATGAAATCAAAGTAGAAAAATCAGAGTATAGAGATGCTATCTCTGTATCTTCTGGTAAAGTGAAGCAGCTAAAAGCATCCTCATATCAAGGGCTTAGGAGAGAGAGAGATTCAACCTGAAGCTGCCTGAGAAGCAGCTACTTACAGAATCTCACCTCTAAATGTGCTGAGAGCTGTCACAAAATGGTTAGACAACACAGTGTATATATCTCAAAAATGTTATATTCTGGCAATTAAGGTGAAGTCAGAACTTGTCAAATCATTGTTCTGCTTAACAATCATTGCCTGAATGCCCATTTGTTTGTTGTCATTACACATGCTAATCAGCCACATGGCTATTAAGTTTGCCTGTAAATGTTTTGAGGGTAAGATGGAATCATTGCATCAAATTCTGTTTTGACAAAAGTTAGGATGGTGCAACTTTTTGAATACCATTGAGGGTCAAGGATTATATTGCACCCTTTACTACTGTCGGATAAAACATCAGTGAATGTTCTTTTTATCCAGTGAGGAGCAATCCTAGTATGGCAGTGCACAACAGGAGAGAAAGAATTTGGTTACTGTACGTGAAGGAGTATCAGCCATGAAGGGATAACTCTGGTGAATGGTGGGCTGCTCTCAGTCTCAATGCAGTTCTACACGCCCAGCACTTAGAACTTTCGTCTCTGGCTGTACATGCGTCTGTCTCAGCCTGGCAGTGACTGCTGATGGACCTTTACTACTCTGGGACATCCCTGGCATCCTGAGGCTGAGTTCCCATGTAGATTCTCTGGTGTCCCAGGAGGGATCAGCTCATGCAGCAATCTTGACCTTGGAAAGTGCATGGATAGAGTCCTTCTCTGCTGTTAGTCACTGAAATGACTCACAATTTAATATATCGGAGATGTCTGCTGCTCTGTAGAAGGCGACTGACTTTAACTAAAGGGCTCCAAAGTTATTGCAATGACTAACAGGCAGGTCGGCATGCTCACATGTGCATATATATAACATGGTCACAAAACCCTTGTTGATTTAAGAAACCTGACTAAAACCCAAGCTTGAAAAGCCTGTTTTTCTGTTCCACTTAGAAGAGAGTAAGAAGAAGAAATATGATCTGGCTTTTTTCCATTACTCATTGTTCAAGATCGTCAAGTAGGTTTCTGATCAGTACATCCGACTTGCAACTTAGAGTAACTTAATAGCTACTTTGTTTTAAATCGGGGCTGCAGTAAATTCTGAAGATCTGGAAGCTGTAAGCATTGCCAGACCAGAGCCCAGAGCACCAGAGATACTAACCATAGTTCTGCCTAATTTCACTTTGATTTAACCTCTCCATTGACATCCTCAACACACTGTCTCCTTCATTTCATCTTTGTCGTGCACAAGCATGCTGCAGCACCTATAGATGCAGCGTATTTGCTCAAAACACTAACTAAGAGGCGGGGAGAAGACAAGAAATAACATGATTTATACCAAAGGGAAATATAAAGGCAGGTGGAAACCTCAGGGTATGGGAGTATAATTCCATTTGCAACAGGTGCATTGAAATTGTTCTTCATTTTTTTGCTGTCCTTGCAGCCATACTAATTGTCTTTTACCTTAGCAAAAGCAAGCAGAAGATGTTGATTTACAGTGCAGCTGGCAGGAAAAATTCCAACAAAATCCATTTTTGTCTCAGAGCTCATGAGTTCATCATAAATATTTTGGGGAAAAAAATCAGATTTCAATGCATTTGTAGCAAGATTCCCTGTGAGAAATCTGCCTGATTTCTTCCTGGTTTGTCTACCTTGCTCCTCTGCAGCCCGTTCTGGGCAAACCTGGACTTCCAGGCTCTTTCGCTCCTGCCAGTGCTTTATTGAGACACTCTCAGAGCTGTCAAAATTTTTAATTTTAAATGCACTTACTGAGATGATTATCAGGTAAACCATTTTGATTCTGGTAGCTCTGAAGCAAGGAATTATTGACAATGACTACTTGTTTCACTGTGGTTCACAGACTGCTCTCTGATCCCTGTCTGGCCAGCTTGGGATCTCGTTCTACAAAATTATTGGTTTAAAAAAAAATAGAATTCTCATGTTTTTGTCCACTTTTTCTTGTTTTGGTTTGGGGTTTTTGTTTGCTTGTTTTTTCCTTTTTTTTTTTCTGGGTGGAGAGTGTTTGAAACAGAAAGTAAAAAGGCTGGGGAACATTACTACCTGTCCCAGAGCTAATGCTCCTGATTGTGCCATGAATTGTTTTATGTTCCATTTACTGGGGAAAAAATGGGTCTGGTGACCTCTTTTTCCAATTTTTTTATGTGGTTGTCTAACACAATTATCATTCAAGCAAACATGCTGGAAGTTGGGAGGAAAATGGCCACATATATTTTTAATCCTACCACAGGCGATGTACATAATCGATTTAATGAGTGGTGTTTTTATTTTGTCCCACCTGAAAAAAGGCTTTGCTAATCTATTTCAAACTAGAACAACTTCTATAAGCTTGAAAAAAGCAGGTACTGAGCCTTACATATATGTAGTCCAGGGACTGAGAAACTGAAGAAAGGCATGAAAACAGATACAAAAAAGCAATCACCACATTACTGAGAAAAACATCAAGGTATCTTCATGATCAGTAAAAGACACTCTAATTTGATTATGGCCTTCTTTGGATCTTAGGCCTTCATCCACTGATGTTTCCATTTTATTTTTATAATTTGAAGCATGAATTGCTTTGTCCAGAGCCTCTCATTGTTGCAACACTTCCATTTATGATTTTCTCTTCCCCCAGAATATTAGTATCTCTTAAAGCTTTTATAATATTTTCTGCTACTGGAAAGGGAATAATTTTCTAAGAAAAGCTGAAGTTACTTGAAAAATATGAAAATCTTGGTATTACAAGAAATTTCACAGGCTAAATGATGGTTTTTCTGCAGTCTTGCTTCACTATATTTCCTCTGCCTGTACTTTTAAGGAGCCCAGAAGGGGAAATGACTCTGGAGCGTGCAGTGAGCATACTGAAGAGTGAAAATACACAGTCCACACCTAGGATTCTTGCTGCAGTGACTTTCATACAGCATGAGTGCTTCCAGAAAGCAGATGCCAGAAGAAAAGTAAGTTATTTTTATGCGAGTTACAATCAGGTAGAGCAAATAACTTTATATACTGTATGGCACTGTGTGCCAACATGAAGAAAAGGCATTCCAAGAAACCTTGTAGGATACTGATGTTGAATATTTTCCCTTAAATATGTTGATGCTTTTTGCTGCAGATTCTTTTAAATCAGTGGAATGGTACTGGTCTATGCTAGCTAAAGTTTGGTCTTTAGGATTTTGTGATAGGAAACACAGAAATGTAGGGTAAGAAGGGACATCAAGAATTCACCCAAACCATCTGTAATTACAGATGGTTATGACCAACTTTTGAAAAGTCACATCAATTAGGATCCCACAAGCTCCTACAGACAAAAAGCTCTACTACTCTTAACAGTTATTCCTAAAGTATAACTTAAATCTCCCTTTTGCAAACTAAGTTGGTTAGTTTCTATCCTATCTTGATGGATATGGAGAAAAATGTCTATTTTTCTGTCCCTTTTATAATGTTTTTTCATGTCTGTTAAGGCTGCTAAGTGTATACCCACTTAGTCTGCTCTTTTTCAGGCCAAATTAAGATAGTTCTTTCAGCCTTTATGAGTAAGTTGTAGAGTCTAAACTTTTTGTCAATATAATTGCTCCTGTCTCTCATTTTTGACTGGCATGCTTACACCGTTGGTACAGAAATATCCCAGAAATGGAAACTTTGGAGTACAGTGCAAACTTATCCAAGCTTCAGGGTTTGCTAGGACTGCACGAATGAGTTAATGCAGTGTTTGGATTAGCCAAACTGGTAAGGGCTTGCTGGGACTGCACAACTGCATTAATACATTGTTTGGATTAACCAAATTTGTTAAGTCTCTTACAAGTTTTTTGAAAGGTCATATTAAAAATATTCTCTTCTTCCTTTTCTTTAAATTTCACTATTGAACACAATCATGGCTCTCTTGCTGAACAGTTCTGTACATTAATGTGTAAAGTGGTTGTTTATTTCAATCATTTAAAAAAAAATTTCTTACACATGCTTTGTTTCATAATTTGCTTAGTATTATTCATATGTAATCTCAGCCTTAACTCCATATTCATGTATATGCAGTCCAGTTCAGTGACAGGCAAACATTACTTGGGCCTTTGGTAGTTTTAACTTGCTTCACAGTAGATCAAAGTCCGTTTTGGAAAAAAACACCAGTACAATTAGCAGCCTTAACTTCAGTCTGAGGACAGAGCTTCAGAATTGAATGTTTAAAGGTGGTTTATTATTCAAACCTCTCTCAGGCAGCTTCCCTGAAAAACAAGTGGATGAGTAACAGAGTTCAAATTGGAGCAGTTAGCCTGAAGCTGCCTTCTATTTTCCTGTCTATCCCACATAAACTAGATGAGTTTTTCTGTTTGGTGCCCATCAGACTTGTTCACATTGGCATTGTCCTGTTTCCCCTTTTTAGCCTTTCAGCCTGCATTCCTTTTCTTTGTCTCCCGATGCTTTGTTCCCTGATACCTGATAGTCTGTGGGTCTAGTGGCTTTTCTTTTTCTCGTGAACTTGTGGTCTTACAGTGTTTTGGTGAATTTTGTCAACGGATGAAAATTTAGACAGACCAATCAATAGCTTTTGTAAATTCTCCTCTGCACATTAGGTCAAAACAGCACCACTTCTTTTACAAGAGTTTATAAATCACTTAAAATTACCAACAGAAAGCCTGCATGAATGTTTAAAAAAACCAACCAGCTACGGTATTGGTGTCAAAAGGGCTTATCTACTGAATAAAGTAGGTGCCTTCAGCGTGTTCTATGCTTCACTTACCTCAAGACATACATTTCCGTATTTCATTCTGTTAGCATCTAGATGATTGTTGAATCAGGGGGAATCAGGTCAGCAGTGCAGCAGCAAGAAACTGTGCCTTTTGTACAACAGAATCAGAGGAAAGGCAGGCAGGCAGTGTAGTTTGCCAGGGCATGAAGGGCAAAAGGCTTTGTTACATTTCATTTCTTCGTGTTGCCAACAGCTGTCTGTCATATTGAATTCTTTCTATCATTAAACTCTGGACTACTCAAAACAGTTGTATCAGATTTCTAAGTCTTTCACATGCTGTTGATTCTACACAAGGACGAGTTTGTCCACAAAACCATACGGCATTTTGAGATGCCAGAGGAAACCGTCCTCAATTGTACATCAATGTAAGGTGTTTTCCATAGTAAACTCATTCCTAAATGAGCCAAGGCTTGCTTATGTCACATCACAGCTCATATGGGATTCATCATTTGCCACAACGTGTAGAATTTGGAAACTGTTTGTTTTTGTACAGCTGCTGTAAAGTAACATCTTCTTAATTCTTCATTCATTTGGGGCCAAAACCTAATTTTCTAAAGAATTAGACACTGAAGAGTAGTCTTTGTTAAATGTGGGTGGCTCAGTAGTTAACTAGCTTACAATGTTTAATGGTCTACATTTAAAGTTTACTAGTTTACTTTTTTTTCTCAGTATGCCACAGACAAGAAGTACTAAGTATAATGTATTCTTATTTAAATACACTTTCAATACATGCATAGAAGTTAACAGAGAAAAATATTGTCTTTCCATCAGGCTGGCTGCTGAGAAAAAAAACCAAACTTGGCACATCAGGAACATTTTACATCTAGAAATCTCAAAGCAGTTTATAAATGTTCCAGAGTTAAATCTCAAATATCCATTTCACCAACATGGAAGCTAAAATACAGAGCAGTTAAATGTCTTGTCAGAGAGTACAAATCTGCAGCAAAGCTGGAAGAGATTCAGTTTCATTCTCTTATATTAATTATTAAAATATGATGCCTCCCTTAGTTGTGGATTTTAACTATGACTCATATGAAAGCCCAGAATTTAACAGTCATGTCCAAACAATTAATGATCTGTGCTTCAAGTCTTTCAAACGGGAGCAAATGAAAAAAGTCCCTATGACTATTTAAAGTTTTGCTGGGGGGGGGAGGGTGGAGTTTGTCATTTACAGTATCTAACTATTCTCTGCTGTGTTTTGTTTTCCTCACAGGTTTTCTCACTTGGTGGTATCCCCAAACTTTTACAGTTTCTTGACGTTCAGAACGAGGACATTCAGCGGGCAGCATGTGGTGCTCTGAGAAACTTGGTGTTTGAGGACAACGACAACAAACTGGAAGTGTCAGAGCAGAAAGGGATCCCACTCTTGCTCCGCCTACTCCGACACACCAGGGATGTAGAGACTAAAAAGCAAATAACAGGTAGTGTTTTCTGTGCAGTCAAACATGAAGTGCTTTAAGTAGCGCACGAGCTTTCATGTGAGGTACATGATTGCTTATTTAGGCCAATGTTTAGTGACTAAATACAAGAACATTGCCACCTTTTCTAAGCTTTTCCCTTAGGGTGAAATTCCAAGGTCCTTACTCAAGACCAGTCTTTAAGACAGTAAGAAGAGACTAGGAACTTCAACTTCCCCTCTGAAAGCTTCTTCAGAAATGACATGAGTCTATTTGTTTGCAGGAAGCTTAAAGTCCTAGATATTCCAGAAAAGAAAGTAAGGCTCCAAATAGCAAATTCTGTAGAACCATTTTGGTGAGCAGTCCCAGAGGTGCCTGGGACCATAATTAATGCCCGCTACTTGCACAGCAGCTCAGCCCTCACTTTTTGACAGTATGCTGCCAGTGCATACTGGGAGCTCCTTGTTGAAGACTGTCCCCCAGAACTGTCAGGTGCTGTGGATAGAAGGTGGTTGTCCTACTCCCCACAGACCCTACTGCCCCAAATTTCTGCTCTGAGCTCTCTCACTCCTAGCTGTTTACACCCGAGTCTGTTTTCTCACATCTGTGACAAGCAGAAAACTGCCACAGCAACAGCGTGCTTCCTTTCTGTGTGCAGGGGAGAGAATTCCTGCAGGACATCCATTTGGCTGTAAAGATCATACAGCACCATCAGTGGAGTGACCTGCATTCTGCATTCAGTCTTTGCAGGGCTTATGTTCTCATCCTTTTATTTCCAATGTCCTTGAGGAAGAGCTCTTAAAAATCAGTAGGGCCCACTGCAATTTTCAAGGAAGAGCCCTTTGGATCAGAAACCCCATATTGCACCTCTTGTTGTACATCAGCATAGCAGAAGGAATGGCAGGAGGAAATGTCCACCATTACTCACAAAGAAACCTGTGGTTATTGCCCTGTTGGCTTTGCAGCAGCCGGTTAAGAAATGCCCACCACTTCGTCCCTGCACTCCTGTTTGACCATAGTGTGTCTCTGGAAGTCAGCTGCTTGTGACCCACATTCATCTAGTTAGCATGCAAAGGAAGAGCAGGCTTATATTTTATAAATGGAAGAAAACATTATGAATAAAGGAATAGGGATTTATTTCAAGTGGTCTTTAAAGATACCAGGAATACAAGCTATTAAAATAACAGTGCTTGAAAAGATACAGAAGGTGTCAAGCAGCCCTGCCTTGAAGCAAAGGCATGTTGAGACCTTCTGTAATTCTGCATTCTTTTATGTATTTGAAATACTGTGCTCCCTAAGCTGGAGAACAAAGCTTTGTATTGTTGGCTCTTTTGGCTCGGTTCTACAGCTCTACAACATTAAAATTTTTTAAAGTTTTTCACATTCATCAGATGCAGAATTGGGTCACTTAGTAACTTATTGTATAGTGTGTTGTCTTTCGGTGCTATTACACACCAGTGAGGGAAGCAGTGAAAATGGTGGTACAGTGGCCAGAAAGCTAATGCTCTTTTCTTGCTAGCAATTTTATCATTTCTGACAAGAGCTTTGACTGTTTGTGCAGGGTAACTCATATGGGTATTGTGAATATTACTGTCTTCCTCTTCACCAGTGTGAAAATGGATGAAGGCGCACCTTCTTTCTGCAATTACTGCTGTCATTGAACATGAATATTTACTTATGAAACACACAAGACACCAACAAAATATTTAAGCAATATCGAGCAGGATGTTGTAATTTGTGTAAAGCAAAATATTCTGATATACCTTCATGCCTATCAGTTGCAAGGGATGGCTTTAAAAATACACCGAGAGAAGTATTTTTCGCTTTGTTCAAGACCAAATTGCAGTCAGGAGGAAGTACACTGGGTCCCTTGGTGAAAGTGGCACTAGGGCATACTTTTTCCCGTCACTTGAGCAATTCTGCCAGCTCCCTAGCAAGCTGCAAGGAGCCTACAGGGCAAAGGGCAGCCTGGTTGAATGAATTTCTGTGAGAACTTTAACTTTGCTTCCAGCCACTTTCTTTGCCAGCCCACACTTCAAATGCAGGCAAGGAGTGGGCTGCCGACAGGAGGTAGACAGTCACTGTTAAGCATATGCTTACTAAGGTCAGTGCTTCCAGTTGATCTTGGCATGTGCAGTGATATCTAGGAAACACTGGAATTACTGTCCTGTACAGATTGACTATGTAGCCCAAAAAGGGCTGCAACATAAGGCTTTTCCAAGCACAATGCAAACCTCTGAGTGCCTTTCTACCAAAATGGTTAAACCCCACTGAGGAACAGTTTCCCTGGCTGACTGATGGCTCACCTACAAGTTTTGTTTCTCCTCTTGCATTGCCTTTGGCTTCCTACAGGAATAGTGGAATACCATAGCTATGCATGCAATCGCACTGCAGTGTTGTAACACTTCCAGGAAAAGATTAATGCAGAACCTTTGGGCTTCCACCTGGTCAGCATGAGAAGCCCATCTGTCTTTCCCCATCGTACTTATTACTTGCCTACTTTCACTGTAAATTAGAGACTTCCAAATGTGTGATATGATAATTAGCTGAATGTCTTCCCCCTTAAGAGATTAGTAAAATAGTCTTGGTACCTGATAATACCACACTGAACTCTGGTGAAAGACTCCTGGTCAAGGATCAAAAGCATGTGTTACTCATTAATAAAGACATCTAAGCTCAGCAGAGGAAAGCTTTTTGTTTCTACTGCTGTGTAGGAAGCATGGTACGAAAGCACCCCACCTAACAAAAATACATGAAGATGAGGAAGTTTTTGGAGAGAAGGAAGTTAAAACTCCGAGACACAGAAATTGTCTCATACCGTACTTCATTACCTGTCAGAAATATAATCTAATACTTGTGCACATGAGATAAGTACATCTCAGCCTTAAAAGCTTATCTTTAAGGTCGCTGGCTTATTAGTACCTGCAGTGTTAATACAGACAAACGCTTGTCTAATATTAATCCATATCATATCATATCTTCTCAAAGAATGTTTTGATGGCCTATATTTTCTTCAAGACCTAGGCTGAGGAATACAGTCTGAGCATAGTCATGCAGTGTGCCTTGTATTGTCCTATGAAAAGACTGAAAGCAATGAAACTGTATGGAGGTAAATGCTGATTATAGCGAGTGCTGTGTCCTGCCACAGAGTCTGTGCATCCCAGGAGAACACACACACAGCACCAAACCAGTACTCCCACCAAAGTGGCTTTGTGCTTATGACAGTGGTTTGAAAGGTGCCGTAGACCAGTTTACCTAATGCCCCTGTGCAGAAAATAGCTGCCCGGTTTCTCTGTGCAATTTCCGTGCTTATATGACCTCTTCTTAGGGGGAATGAGACCTCCTCAAGATCACATTGACTGAATTTGCTAGCTTCATAAAATCATTAATACAAGTAAGGGAACCATAGGCTTTGTCCTTTGTTTGACATAAAAACAAACGCCTTGCAAATCTCTTAGGAAAGGAATGAGGTTACTCCTGAATAGTAGGAGAGGATGTCACTTGGAGACAATGCAGGAGCCAAGACAGGAACGGCATTTTGTAGTATTTGGAGAGCATACTGAGGAACAGAAAGTAAAATGGCTGTGGCGTGAAAAAAAACAGAAAAGATTAGCTTTTGAAGATAAGCCAGATGAGCCTCCAGGGAGTATCTAACCTCTTGATCTTGTTATCATGCAGCATAACTCTAAGAAATGAAAGAAAATTTTTCCTGCAGGGAAGACTACAGCACAAACAGAACTGTCATTAAAAGAAATATAAATTTAAAAGGAAACCCCACCCATTTTCCCAAATAACCATCTAAGGTTATGCCCCTATGAATACATTATAGCATAATAGCTATAATATGCATAGCTGCAAGGAAAGGGACCACTCCTAAAGACATTTTCTGATGTGAACAAATTCATCCACACCCAGAATGCCACTGAGGGAATCCTTCTGAGCCGGGTGAGACAGTGCCTGTGGGTAAAGGTAGGATTTTTGTTGGAAAATATACAGTGTGAGCAACATCTCAAATTCTGTTCTGACAATTCTATTCTAGGTCTATAATTCAAAATGCACTTGTTCCTTTTAAGGTTATATTCTGTCCTTGTGCCCTTGCATTTGTGCCATTCTGTCTTGACCTGCTTCCCTTACCAATGCCCTTTGGACTGCACGTCTGATTTCCTGTAAGCCTTACTTATTCTTCAGGAAAGTACATTCTTCCTTTTATTCCCTAATTCAGAGGTTGAAGAGCTGATCCCAGAAGAAGGAATGCGCTGCTTCTAGCTGGCTTTTGTTTTGATTTTACTATTGCTCACAATAGCTGAAATTAAATTCAAAGCGTAAGGAGATACAAAAGAAACATTTTTTTTGTTGTGAACTGATGAAAGGAACATTCACTAATACTCTGCCAGTGTTTGGAGGAGGAGGCCTGTGAAACTTAGAGCAGCAAGCTGGAGAAACAATGAATGCCTTTGTAGTGAAAAGCAGAAATACATGTCTTTTTCCAGGGGAAGAGTACTTTAAAAAGAATTGTCATCTGTTGGAATAGAACATAAGCAAAGCTAATCAATTATACAAGATTATATTTGAGATTTGTTTTGGTGTTTGGAGATTGCGAGTAGACAAGGTATGTAGCATTACTTATGATGTGTTTAGTGACCAGTGTCTGGACAGTAACGACCAACCCGTGTTTAACAGCTTTCCCTCCTATGAGGAATTTTGCTATCAAGTGTTAGAGAAACTTGGTAATGGGTATCTCCTGTCGTCCAGCAGATTTCCAAAGACCTGTAAACTCACTCTCTGTACCTCCCATCTACCCCCTTTGCATGCGAGTTTATTCTCCTGTTCATTGGTCTTTACTTGGTACTTGGAAGTGCAACTAGTCCTGCCAGGCATCGGAAGGGACGAATTCCTCCCTGGAAGTGTGGAGAATGATCGCTGGTGTCGGTGGTGTTAGCTCTGTTTAGCTTGTGTTACTCTGGTAACAGAGAAGATGATTGCTACAGGTGGGCAATGCACATGCAGAGCCATGGAAAACTGCGCTTCTCGGTCAGGCGTTAGACTGACTATATGGAGACCTGACTTTAATTACGTGGATAATTGTGCCCCTTTTTTGCCCCATTTCTATGTCCTCAGATCAGGGCTGGTGAACTCTTATCACCCTCTTTTGCTCCTCTTCAGGATATCGAGTGCCAAGTAGGCTCCTTCATTCATTAGCTTCAAGGAGTTTGAGATTAGGTCTTTCAAACTGTTGGGGAGTCTTTTTGCCACTCTGATTTTATTTGGGATATTGCAGGTTTGTTGTGGAATTTGTCCTCCAATGACCAGCTGAAGCACCTGTTGATTACAGAAGCCCTGCAGACGCTGACCGAAGCTGTTCTCATCCCTTACTCGGGCTGGCCAGATCGTGATTACCCCAAGTCAAGTGTTTTACCTGACCCTGATATCTTCTACAATGCCACAGGATGCTTGAGGTGAGCACTCAGTCCACAGGTACCCAAAACAATAATGATGATAAAACAGGCCTGCACACTTACTTTCTTTCTTGCTTTGACCTTTGATGGCTCCAAGAGAAGAGTTTGCATACAGATCATATTTTGAAATGCCTCATGTATATCAGACCAGAAGAATTACGGCTCAATGCAATGAAAACAGCTTTCTTTATAAGGCTCCTATATGTTCATTTGATGGGCGCTCCACAGACTAAATATATCCATAACAGAAGACAGTAATCAGAGGCCTGGTTGCAGTGCATAGTTGCATTGAAGTCAAAGAGATCCTTCACTGAATAACAGTTGTTGGTATGATGTATAGTATTAGCCCCTGACTGATAATGATAGTAGTAAAAACAAAGCTGTTTTAAATGATTGTAGGAGTGGTATTACAAATTAGCACTGGAGAAAAGCTAACGGTAACTTAAAAGAAACTTTAAACCTGTGCAAGCCTTTTAAAGTTATTTTAAGACTCTAGTGCAGTGGTCTCCAAACTTTTTTGGTCATACACCCCATCAGTAAAAAACTTTTGAGAACACTCCCTCAGTGTATGTATATTTATTTATTTATAAATTATATACATGTACTACTGTACTAATATATTATGTACATTATAAAACATACATAAAAACAGAAAATAAAAAGGATTATATAAAGATGAAATAAACACTATTTTAATTTTTTTAAATTTTATTTATTAATGGTACAAAAATATTTCCTTCCCGCACCCCAATGGACTGTCTTGTGCACCCCCTGGGGAGACCAGTGCTCTAGTGGATGTATAGCATGGTGGCCTTTAAAGCCTAGTTCTAAAGTTGTATGATCTATTGATACAAATACAAGAGTGACACTTTTGTAGGATGTCAAGTTCTTTGACATACATAAGTATCGGTTATAACCACTTTGTTAATACCTTTTTCATAAACAATTCCTGCTTCATTTTAATTTCTAAAATTTATGAAGCATAAGAAGTGACTATCCACTGGAGTCACATACAAACTCAAAATAATTAAGACCCTTATACATATCTTGAGTATATGTCTGTAATTCTGACTGGCAGAACAGATTTACGATTGCGTTTGTTGAAAAGTAACAGTGCAAAACCCCATGAAGAGTCCTAGACTATAGCAGGTAAAGCAGTAAGGTTTATTTCTTTGAAACACAATTTCTTAGTTGTGCTGGAGCAAAACACAGTCATAGGCAGTAATAGGTTTTTTATCATCTGTCCTGGTTTCAGCTGGGATAATTTTCTTCCTAGTAGCTGGAAGAAAACCAGTATAGTGCTGCGTGTTGGATTTAGCATAAGAATAATGTTGATAACACACCGATGTTTTAGTTGTTGTTAAGCAGTGTTTATACTAAGTCAAGGACTTTTCAGCTCCCCATGCTCTGCCAGCGAGGAGGTGCACAAGAAGCTGGGAGGGGGCACAGCCAGGACAGCTGACCCAAACTGGCCAAAGGGACATTCCATACCGTATGATGTCATGCTCAGTATATAAGCTGGGGGGAACTGGCCAGGGGGCAGCGATCACTGCTTAGGGACTGACTGGGTGTCAGTCAGCGGACGGTGAGCGGTTGCATCACCTCTTGGCTGGTTTTTTTTCCCTTTTCCCTTCCTGCGTTTTGTTCCTCTCTCTCTCTCTCTCTCTCCCTCTCACCCCCCCTTACAATTTATTATTGTTGTTGTTGTTGTTATTTTATTATTTTAAGTATTACACTGTTTTTATCTCAACCCACAAGTTTTCTTATATTGCTCTTCTGGTTCTCTCCCCCATCCCACCTGGGGGGAGGGTGAGCGAGTGGCTGTGTGGTGCTTAGTTGCCGGCTGGGGTTAAACCACGACATCATCACATGCCTCCGTTTAGAGAATCTGATTTTATGTAAACAAGAAACTAGTCTTCTATGAAGAGTAAAGAAAATTCACTATATTCACGTACCACTGTTTCAGGGTAGCTTCAACAGAAATTTGTGTCATGTATGTTTTATTCAAGCAGTGGTAATGCTGTTTACAGTGGATAACTCATCGGGGGCAGTTCCTTTGAGCAGTCTCAGGTTCAGACACCCAGGAGTGTTAGCATTTCCCATAAGAACCACAAAGTTGGCAGCTTTCTCTTACAATTTCTTCCCTTTGCACTTTACAGTTGTATAGCCTTGTAAGTGCCATTTGGGCTACCGAAAGACTAACATACTTGAAGGATTAGTTCTGGTGTCATAGGTCCATCAGTGGGACAACTGAAGTGCTCATGTACCTGGAATTTTCTTTCAAGAGACTGAGCAAGTCATCTTCATCTACAGCAATATTAGGTATTAATGGGACCATAGTGTTTTCTGCCATTTGTGCTGGGTAAGTTCTGCTCACCTGCTGTAATACCTGCTGAGTTCTACCAGCTTTACCAGGCACGGGAGCAGTCCTTTGGGTAGTAAGTAGAACATGCTCAGCAGTGGCCAAGTCACTTTTTTTCCTAATCGGCATGTAAACCACAACTAATAGTTACATTCAGTAGCATCTCCAAGGACCCTTTGGATAAATACGTGGAGTTAATCTCAAGCCATAATCACTTCTCATCTAAACAGATGACTTGGAAAGGGGCCACGGTACCTACAAGCACAGAGAAGCGTTCAGTTTTCAGCTGCTGCCAAAGACACTTACTTTGATGTATCATAACCTATAGCTAAACTGATTAGAAAATGACTTAATCTAAATTAGGAAAAAGACATTTTTTAAACCAAAGTAAGCCCTGTCCAACTTCTTGCACAAGTTCAAGTAAATTGAGGCCAGGCTGCAGCCATGGGGTGGATGAATAGATTTACAGTTGTGGATTTACTACTCCAATCAGCTAATAGCCTCATGAACACAGTAGCAGCTACTACAGAGAAACACCAAAGGCCTCAGTAAACACACCCCTAAATGACTGAAGTATAAAAATCACATCTTTAATAAAAACAACTTTAAAAATAACAGTCCGTAAAACTGTGGCCCTTTGTATTTGTGAGTTCAAAGTCATTGCACGTTACATGTCTTCTGTTTACACATTCAAAAATGCATGAAGGGACATAGTTTGAAATAATTAGTAAGTAATGTATGAGCGCAAAGGCATGGCCTGAGTTTTAAATGCTTCTTAGTAAAGTACAAGGAATTAAGTTTGAAATTTAGAAGCTGGGAAGCTGCCCGGTTTTGCCTTACACATACCTGCTTTGCTAATCTGTCCTATAGCAGAGTAGTTGTAACTGTATGGCATGAATTTTTACTGTGTAAACAGCTCCGTATCTGACTCATGGTTTCAGAAGACAAATGAATTCTGATCTATACAAAATACTCAACAATAAAGCACCTTTTTCTGCAGAAACTACTGTCAGCCCACTAACTACTAATTAATTTCATCTCTAAGTAATAATTAACTTTTATTTACTCTGATGGCTCAAAAGCAAATACAGAGAAACATTAACTACCCATAATAAAATCTCTCCAGCTAACACTAGTGGTGTTGTCTATGAAATGAAGCAGGTTGTCTTTTTTCGTATTAATTAGCCCAAGCTGCATTTGTACAGAAACCAGTCTGGCTGTTAGGTGTGCCGCTCTGTGATGGCATGACCTGCTCCTCTCCTGCGTTTGGACTCTGGAATCGTCTCTTCCCTGTGAGCCAGCCGATGGGGGCACAGGATCATTCTCAGTTTTAGTGTGGTATTACCCTTTCTGAGCTTGTTGCAGCAACTTGACACAACTTGATATGTGACAAATAAGGCATAACAGTAGCCGAGTTGTTTTAAATTAAATAAAAGTAGATTCTGAACGTACCTTACTCTGTACAAAAAGTCAGTGAGTGGGGCTGCTCCAGAGCTGCAGTTAGCTCTGCAAGCCTTAATGAAAAGTCTTTCAAACTGCCCTTATCTAGATGCTCAAGGATACATTACCTATTTTAAAAATATGATGTCCATATACTAGTCCTTCTCATTTTGAAGAGCTTGAACACTGAAAATTATAATTAGAACAAGAAGGGCTTGAAAATTCACAGGTAAAGTTGATCCGCAGGATTGCCAACATACTTTCTAGCAGAGAATAGTTTTTAATGAGGCTTACCATACTTGTACAGACCAAATATCCGAGATTTTTAAGATTAATCTGTTTGCGTCTCTTTATTGGAAATTAACACACCTCCCAAATTAGGTCACTAAAAGTACTACTTCCTTATGTATTAATCTAAAAAAAAAAAATCTCTGCACAAAGAAATGCTGAAAACTAAAAGAAGAGCACACCACAAACTAAAAAAACTGTGCACTGAGGGAATGATGTTACTAATGAAGATGTTTAAAGAGTATATATATTTGCCAGAATATAAATCTCTAATTAGTCTAACCTTTTGTAATATGTTTGTTGTGCATGTTGATAAAGTCTATAGCCTGCAGCTTCTATTACAGGGTAAAAATAGTACTTTGAAGTGCAATACATTATGCATAGCACAATAGTTATTTATAGGAGAATGGCAAAACATCTTTTCAAAAATTTACACACACCTGTTGACTGAAAGGGACACCCACAGTCCAAATCTAACACTATCATCTGACATGGGCATATGCACTGTGCCACACAGTTACCAACTAATGAATTAAAGCTCTCTTCATCCTCTTTGATAGAATTTCAGGAGGAGAAGTGAATCCACACCTAGCAGATGATATTGCAGATACTAACGCTGGAATGAGTGAATGACCAGAACACGCCCCATTCTGCTAAGCAGTTATTGCCAGAAGTATTGTGGGATCCTGAATCTCGGCTGCCTGTGTCAGTGTATGCAGTCACTGATAAGGAAGTCTGACGTTAGAAGGATTTGTTAATCCCATTCTCTAGGTCTGTAATTTGTCTTAAAGCTTTGCTTCTGGCACAGTTTTACAGGAATTGCAGGTCACAAAACTTAACACAATAAAAAGAAGCTGTGTACACCACACAATTTTTCATTAGCAGTTAGAATAAGTAATGGTATTGTTCAGTCCTGAAATATGATAAAAAGCTCTGTGCTCTGAATAGGCAGAGTAAGCCACATCAAAAGACTTTACTGGTTGCCTGACAACAAGCTGAACAAGTAAAATTGGTGTATTAAACTATCTAGAGGAGTACTGCAGACTTTTGCAGACAAGTCTTGTCAGATTTTAAAAGTAAAGTAACTTTTTCTTGGCCTAAAAGTCCTACATAATAGTTCTGTCTCCAGTTCCAATACAAATGGGTAGAAATCTTCAAGATACTTAGCCTCCTCCTCCATACTCCTTCTCTGAGTCCGAAAGGGTAAGATGCCAACAGCATGCAGAACATATGGTTTCGAATATTATTTATATACATAAGTGAATTTCTGGCATGTCTCCCTCTGATTAAAAGGAAGGCTTAGTAGAAGGCTGACTGTGTTATACCTTCAAAGCTGATGATCTTGTTCCATTTTTACCTTGAAATACCTGTTCCCAAAAGTTTTGCAATGCTGAACTTTCCAACATTTATGTTTAGTTGTCACATTTCCTCTTGCAAAACGTTTCAGTTAAGTGTTACAGCTAGTGATCACAACTGTTGTGTTTCATCACAGAATACTCCTTTTTAATTGCTCTGTAACTGGAGCATCCTGTGGCCCCAGCTATCCTAATTCTTCAAAACTTTCTAGACAACTATCTCCAGAAAAGTCAGCTAACCTCTCTGTTCCTGGTTCCCCAGCCAGTAAAATAGAAGTAACGCTTCCTTTTTCATTATTATTTTTCACGCTTTGTCTGTCCCAGCTCCCTTTTAAGCTCTTTGTGAATTACAGAGTGACCCACAAGGACAGTGGAAAGCTGTAGTTGGAGGAAGTAGTATCATTGCATTTCAGACCAGGAGGCTGTGTAAACAGCTACTTACATTTGCTCTGGAGAGAAGTGAAGCCAAAGCTCTCACTGTGTGTTGAAAAGCATAATGGCAGCTCAATTTCATAATGGAAGCTTCTAAGAGAGAATGTAAAACAAATGACTGATGATAACAAGTCTTTGAACCAAGGCCTCTTGCATAGCATTGCCATTCCTTTAAGTTTATTTCCATCCATCCTTATCTTCTCTTGCCTCCTCTTCAATTTATCTGCTCCCCCGATTCGTGAAAGGAATTTTATTTCCAGCAAGCAGCTTGCAGCCTGGTGTCTGTCATTACTAAGTAGATCCCCGGATACCATTCCCTCCCTGTTGCATTTTTGAACTGTGTAAGGCATGAAGGGAATAGAATTTTCTGAACTACTTCAGGAAATTATTATCACGTAATTGAGTTAAATTAAAATTACCAGTTTTAGCAGAATGAGTCCCAGGAGCTATAGCCCTCTTCTTATCAGTCACATGGATCATTTACAGCAGTGCAAAAAACCTTTTCCAACATAGTCGGCCAATGTGTGACTCAGTGCTGGCTTAAAGGGAGTATCCCTTTCATTTGGTGCCATTTGCAATCTAACTGAACATATATTATCATTCTGTTTCTTTCAAAATCACACTTGATTTTACTATGTTACATTTCTTTGTATTTACCTCACATCTCTGGATCAAAACAATGTTTCCCAATAGGGAATTAGCTGATCCTCCACAAATGCCACAGGAACATGGGCAAATGGCTGTTTTGGTTACAGATATAGTAACACCATGTATATGTGCAAGAGAAAATAGAAGCAGCAAACACGAGATGAGATAAATGAGGCATGTAGATCGTTACAATGCATCCACATTAGCATGTGGTATAGTTTGGGCATGTCACCAGGATTACCATATTTAAGCATGCCAGAAGTCAGAGATTTTTAATAGTTAGATGATGCCAAATTGTAAGTAAACTCTGAGTCATTCAAAGGAGAGCATCCCTACAAGCAGCAATATCCCTCAGGCTGCGTTCTCCCCATGCTGCATTCTCCCAACCATTCAATACCAATGCAGGGTAGGGATATCAGAAATTGGGTAGCAGAAGAGTTTTTCTATGAGAAGACTCCTGATCTTGACTCAAGCTGATCCTTTTTTCCACGGAGGTATTTGTCTCAGTGTACTTCTGATGAAATGCAAGCAAAACAAACTTGCACAGCAGACTTGAAGATTTCTAGGTAGCCCTGAAGTCTCACCACGGGGGTTGCCACGAGCCGCAATACTGGGTCAGCCCAACCGTGGCAATTGCCCAAACACTGAGTCTTTCAAGGCCTCCAGGAGCTCCACTACAAGAGAGTCCAACTCCTGAGCTCAGAGGGAGGCGTTCCAGCTGTCAGGAACCTTAAATCTTGGGAAGCCAAGATGAAGTCAGTTTTGTAATTTTCTAAGCAAAATGTTGCCATTTTTTCAAAATTAGTATTTTTTTTTAATTTATTTATGTTTCTGTGACACTTCTCAGGAATGTTTATTTTTTCCTAATCGAATAATATTTTTATTTCCTGGAATTTCTCAAGCTTCAATTAGCAAACAAACTTAAACTGTCAACTGAGGTTTTGCCTGAAATGCTCTTCTCTGCCTTCAAACCAACTCTGACCCTATGCAGAGCAAGGTGGTTACAACTGTAATTGGGTGAGTGGGAGTGCAGGATCTCTTCCCTTCCCAGTCCACATTGTGGTGATAAGGAAACAGGGAAAGGTGGGGAACGGAGTGGCCATATGTGTACAGACACGCACACAGACACGCACTGATATCTCTGACTGGATGAACAGTTGAGCATCAGCTTCTTAATGAAACAGAGTTCTGTAATTCATTTCCTTTGCAGAACAGGACAGTGCCTCTGATTCAGGCTCTTCTCTGCCTCCTGAGCTACAAAGCTATGTGCCCCACCATATTCATGCTAGACAGCAAGGCCAGGTGATGGCCCCTCCTTGCACAGCCATTCAGCATGATCTTAATTGTCAAAAGTTCAGGGATTTTTAGAATAACGTACTGTGACAAAACAAAATACTGGATCAGCTGAAGTGTCTTTGGCGAGGGAAATTCCACACTTATCTTTTAATAGTATTTTTAGTCTGTGTGCCTCAGAAACTATTTTTGCTATGCAATAGAAGGGCTGTAGCATGTACATTTCTGTCAGTATAACCATAAACACATGAAAGGGTGACATGCCTCGAATGTGACATACATAGGTAAAATTAAATTTCAAAATGGCCATATTGAGGAATCTGAATATTGATTCTGTGATATATAACTCCATGAGAGAATAAATGAACTCATGAATAGGGATATTGTTAACAGCATGACCTAAAGTAAAACTATAATTACAATGCATTAGTATTTAATCTGAATATGTACTTCCTGGGGGAAAAAAACAGAAGAACTGCATTGACAGTATATAAAACATTACATTCATTTTACAGTCAAAAGCCACAGGAAAGTTTAAAACTGTACCTTACTGGCTTTGTTGTTAATAAAATTTTAAACCATTGTAATTTCCAGTGGGTAAAGTAAGCATGCAAAATAAACACCCTGAAACTATCTAAAGGAACACGTCCCTCTCTGTTTGTGATGGATGCTAAGATTGGTTTATATTTAATGTTATTTCAAACAAAGAAGCTGGAATGTGATACTGCATGGAGCCTTTTGGCCAGCAGAGCTGCAGGAGTCCAAAATAATGAGGCCTAGGTTTATAGCTGTTTGTTCAGTTGTAAAAATAATTGTACCCCAAAATTGTAAGTGTTGGTACTTCCCTGGAAATCAGTAGCTTATTTAGAGCCAAACTTCAAGCAGCAAGTGTGTGTTTGGCTTTTCAAGAGTTTTTAAATTACTTTCATAATTCATTTTCAAGTTGTACTTGGGTTACCACGAAGTACAGAAAATGTTACTTGAAAGCCGGGCAAACAGTGGCTTCCTTTGGGTCTGGAAGAAGCAGAAAGCGTGCGGAGCTGTGTCCAAGCCACCGTGGTAGAACAGCAGAAGGCATCTGGCATTTCCTTCTCTGACTGAGCAGCTTCTGGTGGCTTCAGCTTTTTTCTGCTTAGATGCCAGCAGTTTCTCTGGCAAGCTGGGAATCGGCTGAGCACAGTGTATATTTTCCTCTTCCTTGTCCCCGCACATTTCATAATTCTCACGCTGCTGGTCTGGCAGTGATGGCAGTGGCAGCCACGTCACGATTCATCCCCTCAGCCTCTTGCCCAGCGGTGGGGCCGGGCTGCTGCTCCGACCTACCAGCTCGTCTGCGTTCACATCCCCTCCTGCCTGCTAGCACCCCTCAGAGCATTTCCATGAGCACATGAACTGCCACCTGAATTTGGCCCCGTAACTGACATCGGTTATCTTTACATGTTAATGTACAAATGTTGCTAAAACTCTCAGAACGTGTCTGTTAATAGGTCATGTTGGATCAAGAGCTGGTTTGGTGTAAGTAAATGCTAAAGGACATTTGTGTGCATGGAAATTTTTACAGGTATCTTTCCTCTGATATTTTGACATAGCTACTGTCCCAAATATTAAAAATATAACTACAAATGGAATAATGGAAAAAAAGTCCAGTTTGTTTGACTGTTTAAAAAGGATTAATTCAACTTTGAGATGGAGATTTGAGTCAGGTCTTACCTTACCCATCCAAAACCAACAGTTTCTTTTTCTGGAGTATTTGTTTTTGTCTGGGAGTGCACTGAAGTGAAAGTTTCACTTAGCAGGGGCTCAGATTATCTTACAGCTCTGAAGAAAGGAAGCAGTAAACCTTACCTTCAGTATCTTTAAGATTTAGCTGGAAAAGTTTGTCAGAGGAGCACAAGGAAATATCTTTGACTAAGTCTCTTCTCACCAACATATTCCTTCCTGCACAGAAACATGAGCTCTGCCGGCCCAGAAGGAAGGAAGAAGATGAGAGAATGCGACGGCTTGATTGATTCTCTTGTGTATTATATTCAAGGAGCTATTGCAGACCACGAGCCCAATGACAAGGTATTCTTTGAGATAAAAGGTCTTTTCCTAGGGGAAATTGCTAGGAGAACATTTTTTTGTTTAGAAACGAATGTTCAGAAACAGTTGTGATCTAATTGCCAAACTTATTTCCAGGGCTTTTAGAACTGTCACCAAAGATGACAGTCCAATAAGAAGATTTCTGAAGTGTCTTTTTATCCTGCAATCTAAAATAATAACATACCTTAGCTTTGGGAAAACACTTTCAGAATCACCAGAAAGAGCTAGAAACGTCTGTTTTGTTTTTTTTTAAATGTGACATAAAGTCACAGCTTTCAGAGATACTGAAACACCTAAAGAGTCGGATATTACCTTTTTAGTTGTCTCAGGGAGCTAGCTAGCTAGAAGCTTAATAAATTAATCTGGTTACTTTCCTGTATATTTAGTGCTATATACCCCTTAGGAAAAGAAGAACCTAAATCTCTTTGGGTGGCAGTGTAATTAAGGAGCTTGCATCATTTAGAATGAGATTGTTTTTCCTAAGTTTTTTAGAAGTTATACATTCTGCCTAAGCCAGTAACTACAAGGACGTGGACACATCCAGAAGCCAGTTCCTCTCATTCTCTTCCTCCCACCATTGACTGCAGATGAACCCTGAACATTGCTTAGACTAGATGCTTGCCTTTTAGCTGGGTGAAGTTGGGTGAGAAGACCAGCTGTCACTTATGAGAAGGTTAGCTGTAGCCTGTGAAGCACTTCTAGCGTACCTGCTATAACTTGTGCTGTGTAGCGGTAATTACTGCACATTTATAGCTCTATTCTAGGATTAGTTACTTGAGCTTCTCCATCTCCCTGTATTCAGTGCCATTAGCTTCAGGGAGAATCCAACACATTACACTTGTGCCAATAGCTCCCTGCTGCATTTTGTCTTAAAATCACTCATTCCTTTTTTACTTTCAAAAAAGGAGGAACTGGTAGTAAAGATATTTACCACTAGACTCATCACTCGGAAATTGTAGACCTGGCTTTAGCCATGCCCAGAAAGGCACATCTAATTTAAAAAAGCATTCTAGCACAGAAAAGTGCTTCCTCCTCAGGAAAGATACAAAGCTTCCTTTTTGCTGACACTACGGCGAGGTGTGTACGTGATCATCTTTACTCTTAAGCTCTTAAACATTCCTTGGCACGCTTCTGGTCTGTGGCAAGTAGCACTCGCTCAAACAATTCCCAGGCACAATTCAGGAATTATAATGTCCCAGGACCATTTCCAACAGGCATGCACCCCGCTCCAAATGCAAGCCCTGTGTGCCAGTTGGCCTCAGTGCTCAGGAACATCCCAGGGCATGTTTAATTTATCAGGGTAAATGCAGTCTTGTGGATCACTGGCACGAAGACTAGCTCTTCTGTAAGCCATTAGAAGCTCTGCAGTTAGTTGTTGAAGATCCAAAAATGAAAGCTCTTCCCATGTCTATACACGTCCCTTCAACGCATGCCAAAGCTTTCAAGATTTCTATTCTTTTGTTATTTTAGGCCACAGAGAACTGTGTGTGCATTCTTCACAATCTTTCCTACCAGCTAGAGATAGAGCTCCCTGAGAGCTATGCCCAGAGCATATATATGCAAAGAAGAAATATTTCTAGCAATGATAAAACAGCGGGCTGTTTTGGAACACGGAGCAGAAAAGTGAAAGAGGTAAAGCACATGTTTAGTTAAATCTCATTTTGTTAATCAGTTGTAGCAACTTCTGGAGAATAAGGCTGTAATCTACTTAACAATCTGTTATTGATGTATCTGGTAGTGTGACACTTGCCCCAAATTTATTGATGGCCTTTCCTAACACCCATTATTTTGTTCAGCTGCTGATGGCAAAAATGACATAGCAATTCACTGTTTCATTTGTTGAGGAATACTGCCACTCGGTTTCATCCCCTCTTGATGGATCTAAGTGGTACCTGTACCATGTACAACAATTGTGCAAGTGCCCTACCAATGAGTGGGTGTTGTGATGGTTTCATCGGTGAAACCAGCGCAAGGTGACTTGCCAATTCCATGACTTTCTGGCTTTTAGGCTATGTCAAGACCTCTTCTTTTGATGCCATGTGGTACAGATCACAAATATTTTGGCAACTTGGAATTATTGGAGAGAAAACAGGTATCAGGGGAGGAGGAAAGCAAAAGAAAAGGATTGATGACCCTTCCCCATCTATTAGTTTTGCTGGAGTGTATTCTGCCTTCTCCCATTCCATCCACAGTACAATTCTAGCTGGCCATTTGTTTCTCCTTGGCCTTGGCCCCTAGTGTCAGTTGCTGAGAGGTGAGAAGCAGCTTCCACCATACCGATCTCCTCGTTTTGGACGGAGTGGCCAGTATAATTAAATATCGAAATGTTACACGTTGTCTTTTGACTTCACAACTTGATAATCTGCAAATAATCTGGTCAGAGAGAGTTACAAAATGGCTAGTTTAGTTTGTGATGCATTAAGTCATGTAAGGTCCCTGTTTCTAAAAGCTTGATCTGTTTACATGTTTAGAAGCAGCAGGACACCCCGCTACCTGAGGAAAAGAGCAATCCCAGAGGTGTTGAATCGCTCTGGCATTCCACACTGATTAGGATATATCTGTCCTTAATAGCAAAGAGTACCAGAAACTATACCCAGGAAGCATCCCTGGGAGCTCTTCAGAACCTCACAGCTGGCACTGGACCAGTAAGTCAGCTTTTTTCTTTTTCTTGTCATTCAGTTCTTAATGTGAATGCATAGAGTTTAGGGCTGGAGTGCAACACGCCCACAGCACTGAGATCAGGTAACCACTGACAAGTCACTGTCTCACAGACATGATCAAGGAAATCAAGGAACATTGAAGGGAAAATCGTAACTGGCAGTACAGCTATTTCTTGTGTGGCAAATATGGGGACTGCTTCTTCTCAGTCTTTGTACATCTCCACGTGTGGAACTTTGCCTATTCATTGCACAATGAGGGATAAGTAGATGTTAAAAGCACACCAAAAAAAGTGGGTTTGTGGAACATAATCATTCCTGTGGGGAGAGGAAGGCTCTGACACAACCACAGGTCACTTTCATGGTGAAGAAACTAATGACCTCTGTCACATTTTGACTGAGGAACTGGCCAAAGAGCACATGGGAGAAAGAGGGCTCGAAACTTCTTTTATATCACCTTCCTTTTCTGTTGCAGCTCATATGTAGCTCTGGATTTAAACTATTTTAAACGTGCTTAAATTGACGTAGAGAAGCTGCTGTGGTTGTTTATGAGCCTGTACATTCATGGTAATGACACACTATTGCCACATGCCTTATAACAGATGCCGTTTGCGGTGGCCCGGACTGTTGTTCAGAAGGCAAATGGCCTTCCAAGTATTCGAACTATGCTGCATGTAAGCCACCCAACAGTAAAGAAGACAGCAGTCTCACTGCTCAGGAACTTGTCTCGCAACACCTCTCTGCAAAGTGATATAGGTGAGCAAAGACTAACATTGTCTCTTGGGCTTTCTTTCTCTGTTCTCTTTATGTTAAGCTTGCTTTCTTTAAATAAAAAAAAGTGCAAAAAAAAAAAAGGGCTTTTAGGTCAAATACTTGCAGTCATTATATAGGGTTGAAAATAAAGAGTTTTGCCTAAGAAAGACTGCAACCTCAAGTTTTCTCTAAATTGTGTATTCCTCATCAGATACTTCCATTGGTGTTACTTCCAGAAAATACATAATGGAAGTAATATCTACACAGATTTGGAGAGGGAGTTTTTCTTCTGCTTAAAATAGGGTAAAGGAAGGTGAGTGCTGAGTTCTGTACTGCCACAGTTTTGTAATCCTTTGGGAGAAATCATAGAACATCTCCAATTCTTCTGGCAAAAATAATATTTTCTTCTTTTAGACACAAAGCTTGCAGCTCGCACAGTTTTCCTGCATAAGTTTCTTGAGACTGGAAGCTAGAAGATGCTATAGAGAAAATAGTTCAAACTTTTTGGAGGACCTTATTCCTAAAATGTTATAATTATTTTCACATCAGAAGCCATTTCTATTCTGAGTATTTTTATTTCAATTTAATGTATATTTGAATTTTTTTCCTACTGATAGGATAAAATAAATTCATATCATTTGCTGTCCTTTTCTGTGTTCACACCGGAGGGGGAAGGGGAAATTAGAGGCATACAGCTGGTTCATGGGGCAGATTAACCTCCAGAATTCTGCAGAACAGTCTCCTGGGCACTGTTTAATCCTTAGAGAACATTCCCTATTAATGAAAATATTATAATATGTTGCTGGGCTGATTTCAAAAGGATAATCTGTATAGTGTTAAAAATTACAAGTGGTGAATCCCCCAGAAAGAGTAGGAATTAACCTGAGAAGAAGAAATTGGGATTTCATCAGGAAAATAATTTATGAAAGAATGTGGGAAAGACAGAATAGCATGAAGCTTTGGAGAAAGGTGCTTCATCTTGCATGTTCACAGTCATTTTCTTGCTTTACTGCAAGAAAAACTGTAGGAAGAACTGGGGGAATTTCAGGTGAACCTTTTCTCCATGAAAAGGTGTTCTTTTTGGTTGTCTAAAAGCATGTGTGAATTCAGGTCAAATTCTCCAAATAATTTTGGCCAAAGGAAAACATTAGGAAGGGCATACTGTTTCCTAGATAAAGTGTCTATATTTATCAAGCAAAATGAATCCTTGATATGAAATTGAGATTAATTTAATATAAAACATCTCTAAAAGTTAAATGATTGAAAAACATGAGAAAATTTCCTGTTTTATGTGAAAAAATAACATATGTTCTGAACAGATGTTTTCAAGACACTGCCAAATGTATACTTTCTAAAAATCGCCTTCCTTGATTTACCAATGGGAGCAAAAATGGGCTATCATGTCTGACATAATTGCTTTGACTGATACTTAGCATAGCAGGTGGTTCATCCAGTTTTAAAGGTCTTTTTCTAAATTGCATGTAATTTAACCTCAATATACATGACCTTGTCACATACCCATCTGGGGGAATGAACAGAACTCACAGAGAGCAAAGCGCTCTGTCCGAGCAAGGCACTGGTTACGGAGGGGAGAATGGCCCCAAATGCCCCAAACTATTGCCCAGTGCTCCTTCTTACAGTGGGAGCTGCTGGCTACGTCCTATTGCTTTAATTTTCTCCATCAACTCTGGTCCACACAGCACAGATCTCACAGTACACAGCAGGACTCAGTTGCTGTCCAGAGCTGCTGTTTGCTGTTTGGTTGGCTGGTAGGGTCCCATCCAGCGTGGTCTTGAGTAGGGACAGACTTCAGAATAGGACATTCTTCTTAAATAGAGAGCTTACACACCAGCTCAGAAGGTTGAGTGTGTGCATCCCCTTATAGCTGACCATTGACAAGTTCAGCAGTAAAAATTGTGCTGTAGTCACCCTTTCTCAGTTTGTTGTATATCACTATGCCCATGATTACCTATAGGACACACAGGGTTCCTCGGGAAGCAGCAGCCTGCTGCTAGCACATGCCTAGGCACCTCACTACAGTACACTAGGTATTAATGTATTGTGTATAAGAGACAAAATACATACCGTCCGATTTAGTGCAGATGTAGCTTAACCTAAATTGTGGGGATGTAATGCAGGTTTGAAACCATGAACTCTGTTGTGGGAGCACACAGCACCCTGACTGGTGATAATGGGAGGAGTAAGGTCTCGTAGGACCCCTAAATAAATCTGCACCTGTTAGTAATGGAGTTGCTTGTCTCTCTTCCAACTTGTAGCTAGAGAAGTTTTGCCTGATTTGGTCTTGCTACTTCCTGAGTCTGTCCTGGGGTCTGATATTGTCTGTGAAACCACAGTGTCCATCTGCTACACCTTGTACAACTTGACACAGAGCAGTTCTCACAATGCACGGCTTCTCCTGAGTGCTGATGGCCTACCAAAGATTATTACCATCAGCATGAATGACAGGTAAGATGGCTAAGAAGCCTTCCCTCCCACTCTTCCTTTCCCTGGGGAGAAAAGAAACTGCAACCTCTGCCACCTGGGCGGGGGGAAACACTGCGTCTTAAAATCCAGGACAGCTTAAACAAGTGACTGTGTTGGGAATAGAATTGCACATATTGGGAAATATGGAAAAATCTCATACAACAACTGTCCATCCACAGCTAAATTTGCGATGTTCCAGCATTTTAAATGGTTCCTCAGAAGATGATGGCACAATATTGTCTATATTCTAATATATGTAGTGGCTGACCATCAGATCTTATCTGTGCCCAGAAAATTTCTCCATTTCCTGTTCTTTGTAACACAGCCCTGATAAACTTCAGGAGAAAAGTGCAGAGATACATTTTATAGAGCTGATAGAACCGTACTTAAAAAATAGTTATAAAGGGGCATTTAAGATAATAGACGTTGAATTTCCTTAAATCATTATTTAATATGTAATCACATGCAACCAATGTTTACTCAAAAGAGAATAACTAATGCTTTGTGAATATCAGTAATTATTCTGTTTGCCTTCCTCTCTTTTTACAAAATGAAAGAGGAAATTCATTTCAGTAAAGGAGGCCTCATGAGGCTCTGAATAGTTTAAATCCTATCTAACTAACCAGAGATTTTACCTGCTGGAAAGATCCTTTCGAATGCTTGTTATGTTGAGGTGTATTTTCCTCAGCTGAATATGAACAGTATGATAGCTGCTCTAAGATGAAGGCTATAGAGTACTTAATTTCTCTCTAATTTTGACGAATGAGTGAAGCAGGGAGGTATGTTGCATTTGTTTCAGTAGTCAGGACAGCATGAAATGTGCTAGAATACCTAAAGAGCAGCATTTAGGAGGAGAGAGAGAGGGAGATACAGAAAAAATGCTACAAGATTACGTTTGCTGAAGTCTGCATATGCACTGTGATTATGAAGTGGGACTTTAAACATGTTTTATCATTCTTTTCACAAAATTGCAGTAACATGTTCAGCAAAGCTAGTAGGGCTGCTTCAGTCCTCCTCTACTCCTTGTGGGCACATACCGATCTCCACAGTGCTTACAAAAAGGTAAGATCTGGGCTAGAGCAAAGATATGTAATCTGTCCTTCCGGACCTAGAACCCTCTCATTTGTCCTCTGGGGCCCTTAGCACTTCTGCACTGTTAAGAAACAACCTATGATAGGATTCCAAGTGGCCTCTGAATTTGGTGTTTCTATTACTTGTACGTAATCCTGCACAAGTAGTGCATGCCCTTAATTTTTGCTCATCTGTGTCCATATTCTCTCCCTCTGTGGTTTGTATCCGCTGGCAAAGTTTATGAAAAACATTGCTGCTGCCTGCCAGAAGTCTCAGATGGTGAGAAGTGATGCACAGTCGGTGTCCGTCCACCACTGACTGAACCAACCTGACACAGAGGGCCTAACGTGCCAGCAAAAGCAAAGGCAGAGCGAGGCAGCTTCCTGCTTTAAAACCACAGCAGTTTTGTTCTCCTTGTTGTTCGTATGGTCTGCGAGCCCAGGTGTTTGTTGTATTCAGGCAAAAAGGTAGGGCCCGGGAAAGGTGTTGGCAAATATTTACTGCCGCATTCAAAATCAAACAAAAAAACGGCCAGCATGAATCAGCCAACAAACCAGTTTGTTTCTTTCCTTTTGAAGCTCTATGACTGCCTTTTCAACACACAGCTGGGCTGACTTCAACCTACCTACCTTCAACCTGCATTTCAAACTGTTTTCATTCCTTGTTTCCTTGCTGTTCAGAATTTCTGTCACCTAAAATTCCCTATAACCTGAAACTGTTCCATTTTTTCAAGCTCAGCCTTTAGCAATTATTAGTCAGCTTGTTTCTTCTTGTAGATTTTTTGTTGAAATTTGCTCAAAAAAAGTTTCTTAGTGTAGTATCCTTTAACAGTCTGGCATCACACTCAGCAGTATACTGCCCCACAACCAGAAATCTGCGTTCAAGAACAAGGGTGCTGTACCCCTATAAACTCTGACTGGATTTTGTTGTCTCTGGTTTTTTGCAACTAAATTCCTGACTTTACTGTACAGCAATATCCCTGATGGCATGAATTTTCCGAAGTCACTGGTACTTTGGGTATGCCTATAGGACACATTGTTGGATCTGAGTTTCAAAAAATGCTCATTACTTGCTGTTCCTGTGCAAATCGGGTCCCCTAGTGATATCAGGTACAGCACTGAAAACTGCAGGCTTCTAATGCATTTTCTAATTACATTTTTGAAAAGTCAGTCTAATAAGCAACAGAAATCACTTGATCAAACGAGACTGATAAAATCCTGAGTCATTTTGTTATTGCCCTGTACTCTTTGTTCGGATAGGGTTAATCTCAGCTGACATTAGTCACCTAAGAGTTAGGAGTCTGTACAGCTGAGCCAGAAGAGGCTTCCCATACAGTCAGTGGAGAGAGTTAAGCAACTCCAATGATTCATCTCACCTATCTGAGACTGAATGGAGTCACTCCTGGGAGATGCCTGTTCTACCTCTGTTGACTGTAGAGGACTCTGCCTGTACCCCTACCGTGGCTCCATACCTAGCTTTTAGACAGCTGAACCCACCCTTCCCTTGCAGAATTGGCACTGAAGATAAGTGATTATTCTGTTTCTTTCATTCCAAAGGCTGACTTTAAGAAGGCAGATTTCATCAACAGCCGGACCACAAAAGCCTATAACTCACTAAAAGATTGAATCACATCATAACACCACTGAAGACAAATGAGATCATACGTCAATTACCGTAACTATCTTCACCCAGTTGGTGTTGCCATCATGAACCAGGAAGTATCTCAGAAAAAAGAGGCTGATTTTATATAAAATTTGAGTGACCAGAGGATAGCTGTTTTGTGTTTTTAATCCTAATCACCTTGTTGTCACTGTATATATCAATATAAGAATAACCAAAGATGGATTCTTCAGGATGTCTGAGGTGAAGTTTCATCCAGGTTTACCACTAGTCAGAGCTTCAGATGACTGCCTTTAGTCTAACAGGCATTTATACAGAGAGGTTTGAAATGCTGACTGGCAGCAAATTCTTTTCAGACTGTTTTATACAGATAGTTTTCTACAGTGGGTAAGCATCAAGTGCACTGCTCGGGACACAGTAATTTTTCACCCTTTTGCTTCTTCCCACATGCTAAATAAGAATCTCCAAGCTCTGTGAGTACACACAAGAAGCTGTTTCACTACCTGCATTATAAAAGCACCAATGAAGTTAAAATGATTATTTTTGTATTGCTTGTATTCATGTGCTCACTGGTTCTTAAACCTCTTTCCTTTGAGATTTCATCAGCAACAGCAACAAAACTGATTTTACATAGGTCTCATCATGTCTTGCTCCTCTCATCCTCCCTCACATGGCTGTTGGAATTTATAACTGTGTCCAGAAAGGGTTTTAACTAGAACCAATATGTTTCAGACACTTTGGGCTGAACTTAGATCCATCATTCTTTGCTAATTGGTGGAAGAGTTAGTTGCTGGTGATTCAGTGATTATTTTAAGAAAATTGCATTTTCAAAATTATTCTGTTCTTAATCTATATATAGTAAAGGGAGTGGAGTCTTGCCTTTGTTTTTGAAGAAATAGATACACACACACACGAGATAAGGCTCCGTGCTGCTTAAGGAATTCATCTGATCCTGCTTCATATTCTCTTATTTGAAGTCATCATCCTCCCTGCGGCAATTACATGCAATGTGATAACTGAAGGACTATGTCTGCACGTGTGGGAATAGGTAACAGGAGGAGAAAAATTCCGAAGCACCTAAAGGCTGTTCCCATGATATGATCCTCAGAGAGGGAAAAGAAGCACTAAAAAACCCCATCTGATACCTTTAGTAAGTGAGATTTATCTCAACAAACCAGTAGTTAAATTGTCCATTAAAGCAATAGAACATTCATATATAAATATATAAAACTCTGTGGACTGGATTATCAGCTGACATGGTCTGGCATTACTCTTCTGAAATCAGGGGAGCTAACCTACATTTATGGCAACGAAGACTTTGGCATATGTATTTTCAAGCCTTCCTGCACAAATGGAGCCCATCCTGTACCCCTACACTGAACTGCTGGCACAGGAGCTATTACAGCTGTTCTTATCCAGAAGGGGATGTGTGATCCTTCGAGTAGGAACCTCACAGAGGAGATCATCAGGCCTCTTCATTTCAGCACTCCTGGCCAAAGGTCTAGCTCCTACCAGAAATTTGCAACCAGCGGGTTGTGACATTGCACTGTGTCCAAACATATTTCTGGATATTGGGGAGCTAAATTCTGCTGGTAGGTGCACATAGTTCTCATAGGCTTCCCAGGAAGTCCCACACGTGCATGCAGAACAGAACGTGTCCTGGGGAGTTAAGCAAACAACCCTGCTTTCCCGTTACAGATCATTTTCATAGGTCTGTTAGTCCTCCGCATTTGCTTTGAATAACTCAAATCAGATGCATTCCAGTAAGAGGTTTTAAAAATACTATTGTTTTTTTAAGAGGTCATTTTCAAAATACTCCAGGTCCAAAAACAACACAGGGGAAGGGAACTTACAGCACTGCATGTTGAGGAAATTGTTTTTATAATTTTTTTAAAATATGATAGAAAACAGACAATTAAAATCTAATTTTTTCTTCTAACTTGTTAACCCGAGTAACACTGCACATGCCATAAATGAATAAACACTGGGAAACATGGACAAGTTCACTTTTACTGCCCAAAAAGTAGTGGTAGGCAAAATTAATATACAAAGAGTAAACCTAAATACAGAGTAGCACAGGCATGAAGAACTGCAGTCTAAACATTAGGAAGGGGGCTTTTAGAGATACTCAAGTATTGGTTTAGTTCTGTGAAACTCACACGCTATTTAAAAAAAAAAAAAGACCAATGCTGAGCATTTTCAAATGCCCTACTTAGTATATCTAACTCCCAGTAAGATGTCCTTAAGAATGGGGTGCAAACTTTTTGGATTGTTTCTATTGATAGTGTCCCTTTAAAATCAAACCAGTGTTCAGAAGTCGCGAAGAAGAATATCAGACCTAGCAACAACTGAAAGATATAAACAGGGATGAGAAACAATGACACACCTTATTACAACTGATCTCCTGCTTGTATG